CACCAGGAGCTGAAGGCCTTGTCTGCTTTACAGGTGTGTTCCTTCTCCTCTCCTACCTGTCCTGCCCAGCCTGGCTCAGCCCAATTACAGTAGATACATCAGTTTACAAAAAAATTAACATTTCATAAACATTTTCTCATGGATTCATGGTCTTTGCAACTATTTTTAATGACTGCGTAAGCATACTAATTCAGTAGCTTTTCTGAACCCATGATTTGCGGAACTATTTGTAATGACTACGTAAGCTATTGAATTAATATGCCATTAACCCATTTCATTATTTAACATTTCCCCCCAATTTTTACTCCTTTGAATAATGCTCATAGGAACTTCTTTGTAATGTGTAGTTCTTTTTTTTCCTATTAAATAATTTCTTCAGAATCAGTTGCCAAGCGTGGAATTCCTCACTTTGTTGTTGTCATTACTATTAGTAGCGGCAGCCGTATTAGGCAGGAAACGTTTTTCTCAATACACGAAACAAATTCTTGCCAAAGAGTTAGTTCTGATTTACAGTGCTGCCAAAAAATGAGAGCCCTAGAGATGGCATTTTATTATTGTTTTCAGTTGTTCATTTGCTGAGCCCTGCACAGCGATACATTTTAAACACATTACAGTCTGAAATACTTAAAAAAATACAGTCCAGTTTCAGCTTCTCCTTTATCTGGAAAATAACTGGATCATCCACCTAGCTGAAGAATGATAGACAAAGTGATGGTAGTGGTGGGCATCCAGTGTGGTGAAGCATATATAACATTACCATCTTACATAGAAATACCTTTTCTCACCTACCCATGGAAAATAACTGCAGCTATATGTAAGCCCAAGCTTCTCTAACTAGGAGGGCAAGAGGAGATTGGTATAGGTAATGGTAGCATGGAGAACTCTGAAAAGATTTTATGTAGGCTCTGAAAGAAATGACACATTTCCTTTCTAAGTACCTTTTGAAAAACTATCGGACTGTTGTTTTAAAATAACTTAAAAATAGAGCCTGGCAAAGGTGAACATGTTTCTAAGGTCTTGGTTTTAGGGAAAGACTTTTTTTTTCAGATCGGCATGCTCTTGGAATCTCAAAGAAAACCCATAAAAAAATGGCTAGAATAAGCAGCAAGCAAAGCATAAAATGAGTTTAGGTGAGTGGGTGTAGACTTGTCAAAATATTAAAGGAAAAGTTAAGCTGTTATATTTTAATTTAACTCAGAGAGAGTGGCTTAGACATTCAGTTAGGCAGAAAATATTGTGGTTTTTGTAGAAATAAAACAATCTGATCTTGACACTCAGTGATTATATGGTCTATTAATAACATGCTAGAGTTTTTAGTAGTTTTGTCCTGTAAATGTTACTAAACTGTATTATTGTGTTGCTTTCAACTTTAGATTTTACTTCCAATTTACCGAATAGAAAATTTTTTTGAGCTCTTGAATTTGTTGATTTTTTTTTAATAAGCAGCCCAATTTAAGCCTATTTTTACAACCATTTATTACCCAATCAGACACATTCTAAACACAATACAAGGGGCGCCTGGGTGGCTCAGTCGTTAAACGTCTGCCTTTGGCTCAGGTCATGATCCCAGGGTCCTGGGATGGAGCCCCGCATTGGGCTCAGCAGGAAGTCTGCTTCTCCCTCTCCCACTCCCCCTGCTTGTGTTACCTTTCTCACTGTGTCTGTCTCTGTCAAATAAATAAATAAAATCTTAAAAAAAAAAAAAACAAGCAGGGAAGACTGCTTCTCCCTCTCCCACTCCCCCTGCTTGTGTTCCCTCTCTCGTTGTCTCTCTCAAATAAATAAAATCTTAAAAAAAAAACATAATACAAAACAAAGTCTTATATTAGTAGAAATTATACAACTTTGTTTAAATACGTAGATTCTTGGTAGTACTGGAGTGTTAGGTGTTAAACTTAACATTGTTTTGATTTAATCTTGGAAATGGGAGATTTTAGCATTGTTGTGGAAGGAAGGGAAAGGGCATGGCTTGAAAGGAGAAGGGACAGAATTCCAGATAGAAGATGTGAATACAGAGAGGTAGAGCTGACTATCAAGGTCAAGTGCTTGTTTTGGAACTTGATTCTCAAGCGTGGATGGTCTTCTCTTAGTCTGGATGTAATCGATTTTCACACGAAACATCATGTGAGATAATCTAAGTCCTGCCAGTTTCAGCTGTTATGGCAGCTAGTGCGCAGTAGGTCAGCTGGGCGCAGACCAAATTGTAATACTGATGTTTGTCCTCCAAAGGAAGTAATACTGTGTTCCCAAATGCTGGTGTCTGGGTAGTTTCCATGTTGACCTGGGGCTATTTTAAATATCATTCTGAACTTCATGAAATAAAAATTAGGCTTTTCAAGGTTAGATGATTGGATGGCAGAGATAAGCTTTAGGGTTTCCCACTAAACAGCCAACTTCTGTTACTGAGTATTGCTCTTCTTCCATGAGGGAAGAGCATGTGCCACGGAGTCGTCCTTTGAGCTGCCTGGGTGTCCACGAGGATGTGGAATTACGAACTATAAAAATTAAAGGTCCCTTCCTACATGATTTATTCTGATCTCCCTCTCTCGTTTAATTTTGGTTGTGAACTTAGACCTTTAGAACTTACTGTCACAATACAGGTACCTTGAATGAAAGTCTGCCTATTTATCTTGCCTTGTGAACCTCATCACGTTGGAGCTTGTTTAATGGTGCTCAACTGAAGAAACTGTGTTTGGTAATCTTGGTGTCATCAGATGTCCTGCATTAGTACCTGCTTGATTGCCAACAACAAAAATAACTCAGGCTGACTTAAGCTATTGAGAGTGTTTCTGGTAAGGATGCTGTGGTGTCTGCCTCACAGAACCCCAGACTAGGGAAATAGCTCCGTCTTGGGCATGGGGGACTCTTACCTGGACCCTCTTCAGCTTGCTTCTGCTTCTTTTAATAGGTTGACTTCATTCTTTCCCTTTTTTCGATGTGCAACATTCTGCAGTCTAAATTGGAAAACATATGACAAGAAACAGCCATTTCAACTATTAGAGATACTGATCTATTTTTCTCTCTCTGTTTCTGATTTCCCAAGGGAGGAGCTGATTGATCCAGCTGGGATCAGATGCCCATTTCTGGTCTAGCTGGTTGTGATCAGGGGTGGGATGTGGAGAAAGTTGGCAAAGGTTCCGTTGTGACCAATCAGCAGTGGGCTGGAAGATGGCGTGTTGGTGTTGTACACATGGATTCTCCTACGCTGAGGCCTGTATCCAGTTCATATACAAAGTAGTAATTTGTCCACTGTGCTGCTAGGTCCTCTTATTTATTTGGATGAATGAAGGTCAACATCTAGTCTTTCTTTATTGCAATCTAATTATATACAGTAATCTGTATAGATCTGAATTGTAGTTGGGCAAGTCCTGACAAATGCGGGTACTCATGAAACCAACTCCCCAGAGCCTTATCATTACCCCGAAAGTTCCAGCATATCCCTTTACATTCTGTCTTCCTCCCCCAGAAGCAACACCATTCTGATTTTTACCCTCATAGACTAGTCACACTTGTCTTGAATGTCAAACAAAATGGAGACACGTAGTGTCAACATTTAATCTTAGGTATTTTAGTTTAAGGTGCAGACATTTAATCAGTGCCATCCGTGTGCCAGGATCTGCGTTGCTGGTAGAAATCCTAGTGTGACTGTGACAGAGCTGGCAGGAAGGGGCAGTGGGGTGGTTGGGACGCAGCGCTGGGGCAGAGTGATTCTCCCCTGTGCGGGGAGAAGCAGGGAGTGTCCCCGGCATTCGGAGGAGGAAGGGGCCTGGAGCTGTGAGGAGCTTCTGCGAGCAGAGGAGGAAGAGCCCCAGTGTTTCTTACTGTTCTCCCGACATGATAAGCCAGCATATGAAACTTTGGCTATTTTGGTCATTTGCCATTTTCCTGCCTGTGTGCAGGATTTCCTCATCTCCCCGTGTGGGTTTTGATGAAAGGAGACGCCCGGAGACCTGGCGTGGGATGATTTCCTCCTGGGGGCAGGAAGGCTGGGAATTATCGGGAATCAGCAGCGGTGTGGGCGCTGCTTTCTACGCACATCTCTCCCGGTTCTCCAGAAGCATTGTCTTTCCGTTGATGTCTTCTGCTTCCCTCATTCGGCTCAGATGGCAGGCGACCAAGTTTGCATAGTTTGTTTTTCACTAAGAAAAGCAGCAGTTTTCTTTGTATATCTTTATATAATAAGATTTTCCATATTTTTAAAATTATTTGAAATTCTGACTCATAGCGACCACATAACTTGCCATAAATGGTCATAGATTTGTAGCTAGATAATGGGTGTGTGCGCGCGCGCGTGCGCGGTCACGCGCGTTTGCGCATGCGCACGGCCTATATGTAACGTACTGTGTGCTGTACTTGTGGGCGCTGCTGTGTTTCTCTAATTTGTCCAATTGATTAACGTTGTAAGGTCAGTTGGGAAATAGGATTGAAAATAAAGTAAATAGTTACATTTCCCTGGAGCACAAATAAGATGAAATTGCTAAAGACTACTCTTTCATTTTCTTTTCTCCACAGAACCATCCGAGTATGGCTGAAAAGAGACAGTGGGCAGTACTGGCCCAGCATTTACCACACCATGGCCTGTGAGTAGCTGAACTGTCCTACTTGAGGGGAGTATGTCTAATGCCTTTGGTGATTCAGATTTCAAAATGCCTGATTAAAAAGTGCTACTAGAGGGAGCCTGGGTGCTCAGTTGGTTAAGCGACTGCCTTCAGCTCAGGTCATGATCCTGGAGTCCCGGGATCGAGTCCCGCATCGGGCTCCCTGCTCGGCAGGGAGTCTGCTCCTCCCTCTGACTCCCCCCTCTCGTGCTCTCTCTATCTCATTCTCTCTCTCAAATAAAAAAAAAAAAAAAAGTGCTACTGGAGGGGTGCTTGGGTGCCTGTCAGTTAATTGTCTGACTCTTGATTTCGGCTCAGGTCATCATGATCTCAGAGTTGAGTGATCGAGCCCCACATGGGGCTCCGTGCTCAGCGGGGAGTCTGCTTGAGATTCTCTACCCCTCTCCCTCTGCCCTCCCCCCAATAAATAAATTAATAAAATATATTTTTTAAAAGTGTGCTACTGTATTTCACAATGGGTTTCTTAGTTGCCTAATACTCCAACAGGCTGTGCTAAACTGCAGGAAAACTTTTCTTTTGCAAAGGAAGTCAGGTCTGCTGGCTTAACTGAAGCTGACTTGAGCAAAACTGAAAAAAAAAGGAGAGGCAGGGGGAGGGGCGTGCCTCACTGCCCCCAGGTTTTCCTTTGTTTTTATTTTGCCAACCTGTATTCATAATGACTGTACTTGGCAGTGGCTGAGGCTGACACTAAAAAAGAGCCCTGTACTCCCATGCCCTCATAACCAGCCTTCTGCCCAACCTTTTCACAAACTTCCAGGTACTACTGAGAGATTGGGTCCAAAGTATAACCCATTCTACATAGAGAATTTTCTCAATAGTTAAATATGTTCACAAAATAAATCTAGAAGATAAAGCCTTTGCATTGAGATTTTAAAAGAGCCCTGGGAGGCAGTGACATAAATTACACCTAAGTTCCAGCCCTTTGTGCAGATGTGACAGGCCTGCCATCCGTCCCTGCCCCTCCTTCTCCTCCTCCTTTCTTGAAAAGAAAGCCCTGGGCGGAGGCCTGCATGCCCCCCGGGCCCACGCTGGGGTTGGGTCCTGCTACCCCAAATGGCCACATGGAAGGCACCATAGCTCTGCTCACTCTCTCATGTGATGTTGGTCCTTAATGAGGAATTTTCCTCAACTAAGGGTTTCAGTATTCAGAGGACCCCCGAGGAAGAGAAAAGAGGCTTTGGGGCCTGCCTGATGCTTTGTTCCTTCTGAAGACCATGGTCAGGTCCTCCGAGGAAGAACTCTTGCCAGTCGTTGCAGACACTGTTGACAGCGTTCCCAGCTTTCTCAAGAGTTATTCCAGAGGCAGTAGAGTGTGTTACAAACACAGAACAGCCAATTTCTCAGCATATTCCGAGTAATCAGTCTGGGTCATCCTTCTGAGTGCCTCCTTTCTCGGCTGGTGCTTTCTCCTTCGTACATCTGTTCCGGTGTGCGTGCACTGTTCGGATCCCATGATCACATTCAGAAAAATTTAGAAGTCAATCAGGAGCTTGGTTGTTCCTGCCTTCCCCGGACAGCTTGTGCAGGCTGCTCACCTTCCCTGTCTTGGTAATTAAACAACGAACATGAAGACTTCGTGGAATACTGCTGTAAAGATAACTATTACAAAAGGAGCCATACAGTTCTACAGTATATACCCTCTGAGAAGCCTCCCTGAAAACCTAACCATAATATTTGCTGCCAAGCAGTAGCACCTCCTGCTGCCCACGTCCGTGCAGATAGGGTGCGTAACCTTGGGTACTCACTCTCAATGACGACGACCCGGGGTCTTAGTCTGTGTCCTCAAAGAGCCCGTTGAATAAATTTTCAAATCAAATTTTGATTGTTTCGGAGCAGGGCAGAGCGTCTCTCAGATGGATGATTCCTTATTTCCGGTGGCCCAGGGATGGGTCTCCCAGCTGGAAGTAGCAGCAGCCTGAGGAAGTCCTGCTCGTGCTGCAGGGGTGTTTTGTCATCTTCATGGACAGTCTTGTCCACGCTATTGCTCTTACTCCTCCTTCCCCTCCATTCCTCCACACCTCACGTTTCGGGCATAGCTTCATGTCCTTGCATCTTCAACCTTGGAGTTCCTGTTCCCTGGCGTAGAGACTGAGAGGGATTTTGTCCTATTGTTAGTTTACTTACTCCTCAGTCTGTACTTAGCCCAGAGAGTTAGTACAGCTGTGTACTTTCTCTCCTCAAATTTAGCAGAAGTGTGCACTTTTCCTTGGCTTTTAGGTCTTGAGCTCGGGGCTTTGGCTCTCAGTTGCCCTCCCTAGCAATTGCTAATGTGGTTTAAATGTACCCCCTGGAAGCAGTTCCCAGAAGGCTGTGTCTGGAAGGACTGGCAACAACTGGAAAGAACAGGCATAGCATCGTTGTGGGTGGCTGACACCCACGTGGTTGCTCCTAGACATATTCAACTTGTTGCTTCCAGATGCTTCTTTACTGTGCCTTATGGTTCTGTCTGGTACTACACCACTGAGGAGACTGTAAGAACACTGCCTGCAGAGAACAGAATGAATGAAATTATGAGAAATGACTGCTCTACAATGACTTTTAATTGAAAACCGAATTCAAAATATGAGAAGTGTCTTGTTCTAAAAACTATCTACAGATTATCCAGTTGAGGACATTTTAGTGACTGTCCACCAGTTTGAACTTTTCCTTGTGACCTAACAGCGATCAATAAGCCAGACCTTGGTGTATTGCTCTGTGCGATCCAGTTGTTTCATATCTTTGCCTCACGTAACAAAAATAACTTTCAAAATCTGCTTTAGCTGAAGAAAAATGGTAACTCCTAGTTAGTGTAATCTACTCTGTGACTCATGCCTATTTTTTGGTAATACCACTTTATGAAATCACACAGCTGTGCAGGGTAGATGATTTTTTCACCATTTGGTAAGTGAGAAAACTGATGGCAGAGGGGTTGAGTCAGTTGCTTGTGGTGGGAATTCGGTCCATGCCCGCTGGATTCCAGAACTGTGCTGCCCACCAACGTTCTCTGCAAAGGGCCAGCCTGTAAATATCTAGACGTTGTGGGCCAGTCTCTGTGGCAGCCACTCAACTCTGCTGTCATAGCATGAAAGCAACCATAAACAATATATAAGTGAAGCAGCCTGGCTGTATTCCAAAAAAAACCAGAAATACCTTTATTTACAAAACTCGAGTTTTAAGCATATGATTTTGGATTGCGATGATGCCTTTTTAAAAGGCCACTGATTTGAAAGATGATTTGTGTTTTACGTGTTTATAAAACTATGAATATCCAATTTTTTTAAAATTAATACTGCTTATCTCATTAGAAGCTTCCCTTCTAGGAAAAAAAAAACCAGGACATCTTTAGATACAGAGCAAATAAATTAGGGAAGCTTTTTTTTTCCCCTTTTTTAAATGTGAGAATTCTCCAGCCTCATAAAACTACTCAGCACATTGTAAATTTTACACGAGAGCATGTTACATATTTATGTATAGTTTGTTATAGGGTTGGACATAAAAAGAATTGAAAAGAAGCTGAAAACTAAGCATTAAGATTTTTGTGCCAACCTAAAAGTAAGCAAAAATGGTGACAATGAATCAGAAATCACCAACGCATGTTTGCTGAAGATAATTTTATGATGGTTATTGAAGAGTACTTTATATGAAGAAGATGCATACACCTTTGTGGTTATAATTCTTAAACTCGATCATTCTTTTTTAGAGAGAGAGAGAAAGAGAGGCAGAGGGAGAGGGAGAGAATCTTAAGCAGGCTCCACCCCCAGCGCAGAGCCTGCCGCAGGACTTGATCTCACGATCCGAGATCATGGCCTGAGCCAAAATCAAGAGTCGGATGCTCAACCGCCTGAGCCACCCAGATGCCCCTCGATCATTCTTTATAGTCTCCCACTTCAGTGTGGTGGGTGAGGGGTCCAGGCTTCAGTCACGTGTAATTGTTTTGTGTGCAAACGCTGCAGCATCTCCCCACCAGCAGGGTGGTTCTCTGAATGCACCAGAAGGAAACCTCTTTCCGTAAAATCTGATCATGCGGCTCGCTGTGTCTCCGCCTTCAGGTGCAGCGCAGCGTTATAGTTTACTTTCGTCCTTCGGAGGAGAATATCAGCCCTTTGTAGAGAGAGAACTTTAAACTGTTTTCAAATGGTAACAGCATTTATAAGATTTTTTTTCTTTTACTTTCTTATAAGAAGTGTTACCTTAAAGTAAGTAAACTCAAGTTTGTTTGTTTCACAGTATGTATTCCCTTGTTGTGGTTCTCCCATAGTCAAACTTCTTTAGGCTGAAATGAACCCACATATTTCTTTTTCCACATGTTCCATTTTCCAAATCACTTTAATTCTGATTTTTAGCAGAAGGAGATGATTTAGAGTTTCTCCTTTCTGAAACTCTGGCCCAAGCTTTCTGGAAGAAAGACAGGTAGAACCTGGAAGGGGATATGAACACGAGAGGAAGCAGGTACTATCCAGGCACATAATACTGCTGTGGACAAAGAAGCACGCACGTATATACCTCACAACTCTGCTTACTACAAACTGCGGTTGTGTATGTCATGGGAAAGGGACCCTTTCCTCACCACTGGAAGAGAACATGTAATCCCACAGTGGCTTTCCTAGCTTGCTCACATGTACAGTCGAATGGGAATTCTGGTGCTGGGAACTCCTTTTCTACAGATTCCAGCCACTCTCTTACCTGTGAGGGGGAACGGGGGTAGGGGCAGGATGGCCTCCTGAATTTGGGTAACAGATTACTTATTCTAAGCCCCTGGCCCCCATGCTCTGCAGCCTACAGGTAGGAGTTTCAACCAGATGAGACTTCATGCTGGCTTGTTTCCCTCAGAATCATAAACACAATGTAGATTTTTTGAATTGGAATTTTAAACTAAAATAACAGAAAGAACGTCAGTAACATTTTCCATTTACATCATTTTTTTAAATTTTATTTTATTATGTTAATCAGCATACATTACATCATTAGTTTTTGATGTAGTGTTCCATGATTCATTGTTTGCGTATAACCCCCAGTGCTCCATTCAATACGTGCCCTCTTTAATACCCATCACCAGGCTAACCCATCCCGCCACCCCCCTCCCCTCTAGAATCCTCAGGTTGTTTCTCAGAGTCCATCGTCTCTCATGGTTCGTCTCCCCCTCCCAATTCCCCCCCCTTCATTTTTCCCTTCCTACTATCTTTTTTTTTAAACATATGATGTATTATGTGTTTCAGAGGTACAGGTCTGTGATTCAACAGTCTTACACAATTCACAGCTCTCACCATAGCACATACCCTCCCCAGTGTCTATCACCCAGCCACCCCATCCCTCCCACTCCCCCCCACACCAGCAACCCTCAGTTTGTTTCCTGAGATTAAGAATTCCTCATATCAGTGAGGTCATATGATACATGTCTTTCTGTGATTGACTTATTTCGCTTAGCATAATGCCCTCTAGTTCTATCCACGTCGTTGCAAATGGCAAGATCTCATTTCTTTTGATGGCTGCATAATATTCCATTGTGTGTGTGTATATACCACATCTTCTTTATCCGTTCACCTGTTGATGGACATCTAGGCTCTTTCCATGGTTTGGCTATTGTGGACATTGCTGCTATAAACATTGGGGTGCACATACCCCTTTGGATCCCTACATTTGTATCTTTGGGGTAAATACCCAGTAGTGCAATCGCTGCGTCATAGGGTAGCTCTATATTCAACTTTTTGAGGAACCTCCATACTGTTTTCCAGAGTGGCTGCACCAGTTTGCATTCCCACCAACAGTGCAGGAGGGTTCCCCTTTCTCCGCATCCCCGCCAACATCTGTCGTTTCCTGACTTGTTAATTACATCATTATTTTCTAAAAAACATTCTTGCCCTCCTTTTTTTTTTAAAGATTTATTTATTTGAGAGAGCGAGAATGAGAGAGAGAGAGAGAATACATGAGAGGGGGGAGGGTTAGAGGGAGAAGCAGGCTGCCCGCTGAGCAGGGAGCCCGATGCGGGACTTGATCCAGGGACTCCAGGATCATGACCTGAGCCGAAGGCAGTCACCCACCGACTGAGCCACCCAGGCGCGCTTAAACGTAAATTGTATAATAATGTATTTTGAACGATGACTTACAATGCTTAGGTTTGCTTGTAATATGGTCTTTGTCTTTCTGGCAGCTCCTTGCTCTGCTATGGCTTACCATCATGATAGCAGACGGATATTTGTGGGCCAAGATAATGGAGCCGTAATGGTAGGTAGTTTTCAGAGTGTATTCGTTACATTGACCACCCTGTGTTCATGCCTGTTGGACAGTTTAAATAAAGAACAGTGATTGCCTGATTGGCATGAAAAATAAACGTTTAATTCAGTATAGGCATTAGGCCTAAAAATAGATTAATTTTAATTTGTGCTTATTTTTAAACCAGTCATGGAGTTCAGAATGCTTTCATGGTTGATGGTTTGGCGTTCAGCCTTCATACAGTGAATATATGGTCTGCAGCAGCCTCGTCCTTGAAACATGAGGGGGTAGTTGGGGCAGGGAGGGTATGGTGGAGAGCCTTTGGTGCTCGCGTGGGCACGTGTGTATGTGTGTGTATATGTGTAAGTGTAAGTAACAATGGAGGGGGAAGGAGAACAAGGTCAGTGACTAGTCATTCAGCCAACAACTCCTGTAACTCTTTAAGACAGTGCTTCTCAAACTAACTCTAGTGAAGGACCAGATATTTAAAAGTTCAGTTTATTATAGATTGGTAGGTATTTTTGTGGGTCTAATTGTGTGGGAGATGTAATTCACATAAAATTCACCATTTTAAGATAATGCAATTCACCTGGTTTGTAGTATAGTCACAGGTTATACAAAGATTAACATTCTCTAATTCCAGAACATGAATCATCACCCCCTCTCCCCGAAGAAACCCATACCCATTAGCAATCAGCCCTCACTCCCCCTTCTCCCGACTCCTGGCAATCACTAATCTACTTTCTGAGCCCAGAGATTTGCCTATTTTAGACATTTTATGTGAAGAGAATCACATAATGTGTGTTGCCTTTTATGTCTGGCTTCTTTCATTTAGCATGACGTTTCCAAAGTTCATCTATGTTGTAGCTTGAATTAGCACCTCGTTCCTTTCTGTGCTGGAGTGGTATACTGTGATATGGACAGAGTAGCCCTTCACTACCCTTTGTGTTTCTGTAAGGTTGGGAGTCCGGTCCCCCATCATTCTTGAAGTTAGCGGTTTGAGTCCTCGCGCTGTTTGTCGCTCGAGCATTTCAGTTGCATCCATCTTTTCAAAGAACCAGTTTTGGTTTCGTTGGTTTTTTTCTTTTGTTTTTCCTATTTTGTGTTTATTTATTTCAACTCTAATTTTATTATTTTCTTCCTTCTGTTTGCTTTGGGTTTAGCTTGCTGGTTTGATATTTTTGATACTACATTGTTGGATGAGAAAGTCCACAGATTTCATCCTTGGGTGTCATAACGACATGAAACTGCTGTAAAGGTTTCTGAACACTCACTGCCTGTTTCTCCACTTCTCATCGGGACCAGCCATCTGCAGACCACACTGAGTAGCACTGCTTTACAGAATAGAAACAGTAAGAATGAGACTTCGCTAGTGGGGGTCCAGTAAGTGTAAAATGACGTAGTAAGTACAGCCGTACAGAGGGCGGAAATTGCTATGAGTGTGCACACCGTCCTCCAGGCAGAGCATCTGGAGAGGGTTAGCGCAGGCTTACTGATGTGCCAAATCCTAGAGGATGGCAAGGAGCTCACCGCGCGGGGCGGGTGGAGAAGGACCTCCAGACGCCGAGGGGGCGGGGGGCTGTGTGCAGGGAACAGCAGTGAAGCGCATCACACACCTACAGCTGAAGAGGCAGCGGAGTGGGTCACGGAATGCCTTGCATTTGAATCTGTCTTCAGCTCTAGGTGTTGAGCAGAGTGCTAATGGAGAAGAAAGTAGATGCAGTCCTGCTGGGCTGGTGGGGTTGGGGGTGCTCTTGGTCTAGCGGGAAGTTCAGATAATACACAAGTAAATAAGCATCGAATTGCAAGTTGTGGTAAGTGCTGTGGAGACCTGAACAGGTGCAGTGAGCAAGACCGTCCAGAGGGGTTTGCAGCCCCACTGAACAGGATTATTGGGAAGGCTGCTCCGTGACATTTCAGCTAAGACCTGGAGGGTGGGAAGGAGTCGGCCAAGCAGAGCCAGAGTAAGTTTTCCAGAAGTGAATGTCCACATGAAGACTGGACGTGAGAACATCTCTGTGTGTTTGAGGCTTCGATGGAGGTTATCGTGCTGGATGGTGCTGAACGCGGGGGAGGGGCTGAGGCCGGGTCCTGCCGGGCCTGGGAGGTCTGGGTAGTGTCGTAAGGTTAGTTGTACAGAGCCGTACAGAGGGCAGAAATTGGGAAGCTCTTGCAGGGTTTTCAACGGGCAAGTGACATGACAGAATTTATACCTTTAAAAGATCCCTCTGGCCAGTGCTCAGTGGAGAATGGATCATTAGCGGGGAGGGAGCAGCGGGAGCGGAAGCTGGATGGTCAGGCTGTTGTGACCACCTGGATGAAAGGGTGGTGACAGGGAGAGTGGACAAAAGCAGATTGATTGATGAGGTGCATTGGGGAAAGGTTGGGCGTGCGGAGGGGAGGAAGAAGAGGAAGTTGGGTGATGGCCAGGTTTCTGGCCCGAGTAACTGGGTGCACAGTGGTATCATTTACTGAGAGGAGAAAAACTTGGGGATATGTGGGGAAGGGGCATTTGGAAGGAAAGGGGACAACAAGGGACCAACCAACTAACTGTACACTTGAGAGACCAAGGGGCTGACCAGTGGCCGTGGGAAGTCAGCACTGGATCCACAAGTCCACGGCCCAGTGTGAGCCTGGGCAGGGGGGTCATTAGCACGTAGGGCGTTTGTTAAGCTGTGAGAATGGCTGTGTTCACCTGAGCAGAGAATGAGAGGAGACAGGGCCTGGGCCTGTGTCCTGAATAACAGCATTTAGGAGTGGGGTTGGTGGGGAAGCCCACCAGGGAGAAGGGGAAATCATGATCCTTCTGTATGTGTTAAGGAGCTGACTATATCCTGTAAGCAAGTTACCCCAACTTACCTAGTCCTACGCATCATTTAGGGAACTAAATGGGATACATGTTCTCTGGTTCCACGCCAGACCCACAGCTTCAGAATCCCTCGGTGGGGGGTCTGGGAGTCAGTATTTTAGCAAGTCTTCCAGGTGAATGTTGGCTCACAACGTTGGGAGCTTCCCAGGTGAAATCTGCAACCAGCCCCCAAACTCGGAGGGCAGGGAGAGACCGAAGAAAGAGGCAGTCCACTCCAGATTGCTGAGTGGGAGGTTTAGTGAGCAAGGGAGCTTATATACGAGGTTTGTCTTGAGTGGCTGCAAGATGAGTAAATCTCTGCCCCCACCCACCAGAGTCTTAAAAGTTTATATAGAGGCCTTAACTGGGTTCAGTCATGTATATCGTCCAGATGGCCCCAACACCACATCACTGTCAAGGTTATGTGCTTGGGACAGCCTCTAGAACAGGGAAGGCAAGTGGGACACACATACCAAAGATGGGGAAGGGTTGAGGAGCCTCTGACGGCTGACTGCCAGGGCCCAGCTCATGGGTCAACAAGAGAGGTCAGGGACCTCTCTCAACAGTGAACCTTAGGGTCAAGTGCATTAGGGGGGAGCCATTGAAGAGCATTAAGCGGGGGAGGATAGAATGGTTGGGTTTCTGTTTTTGTGAGCTTAGTGTGCCAGTATGTGGAGTTTGGGGGGACAAGGCTGAAACTGAGGAGTCCCAGTTCAGAGTCTGTTTCAGGACTCCAGCGTGACACTGTGAAACGCTGGGGTGGTGTTGGAGAAGAGGTGTTGGCTTTGAGAGCTTTCTGGGTAGCAGACTTGATGTCTGGTTGGTTGTGGGTGTTTTGTAGAGAACAGTGTGAAGATGGCTTCCAGGTTTTTAGCCAGGATGGTGGTGGTGAGCGGTCAGCTACGCTCTAAGAGAAGATGTGATGTAGAGGGAAAGGTGACGAGGTCAACATTGACAGTTGGGTACATGGGCCTGAACCTCAGGGTTTGGTCTGGAATAGGGGTTGGGAGTTCTCTGAATATAGGAGTCCATGGAAACCGCAGCAGTGGTTGGCCTCAACTAAGGAGAGCAGATAGACTGAGAGGAGCAGAGAGCCAAGGTCACGCTCCCTGGGAATATCAGTATTTAAGGGAAAGTCAGAGACTGGGAGCCATGGGGGAGACGGAGGCAGAATGGACAGAGTGGGAGGAGAGCCAGCTAGGACACTGTGGCCACAGAAGTCGGAGAGGCGGTGAGTTTCACGTGGGGTGAGTCTCAGTGTCAGGTGCAGCATCAGGGGCAGCAGGGAGAGGATGATGTCAGGCCTGGAAAACGACCTTGGGAGCGGCAGTTAGCAGCTGGTGCTAAGCGAGGGAAGCCCCTTTCCTGCTGTGATGGTTGCGTGTGTGTGGTGGGTCGTCAGTGTGGGCTGATCTTTAGAGAAGGAGCTGAGGAAAGTTGTAGAACTGCTAAAAGAGTTGTATTGTTTTCTGCTTGTTTTGTTTCTAAAATTAAAGGCTAAGAAGCCTTGAGTGTGTTTAAGGGCCAGGAAGGAAAAAGCCAGTGGAAAAGACAGGCTCTCTGCCCAAGCAGTTCACTCAGCAGTAGGCGGATGGTGACGGATGCGGGTTGGGCTCGCCCAGCTCTTTGCCATCAGCCTGGGACTGCTATAAATACCGTAGTAGTAGTAGATGCAAGTGTTCTCATCTTTCTCCTTCTGGAAATTTTATAGGAATATCACGGTAATGTGCATGCACATGTATAACCAGAAGCCAAGAAGCAGTTTGTCCAGTGGTTGCACATTTTATTTCTCTAGGGACCCTACTTGTGGCTCCCGAGTCAAGGGTAGACTCTGTGATTATAGGACAGCATATAAAAATTCATAGCTCTTCAGTGCAAAGGGGCAATGTAAATCCAGTGTATCGTTCGTCAGCAATTGATCTTTGATTTTCCACCCAAAACAGATCAGTATATATACAAGGATATATATACTAATACATTTATACTGTCCCCAATATGTATGTGTGTGTATATACACACACACAGTCAATATATATTAATACATATATATATACACATATATACTGATACATTTTTGTACTGTGCGATACCAAGATGGAGAGCAAGGAATCAGTATTCCTGTGTGTGTGTGTGTGTGTGTGTGTGTGTAACAATTCATAATGTCCATGTTACTTAGAGCCTTAAGAACTTATCAGTGAGCATTGATCAATAGAATTCTTAGTGCTTTTTCTTTAGAGTTTTGTCTTCTTGGTTTTATGCTGAAGCTAATTTTTTCATTAAAAAGCATATACTTTTATTTTTTCCTACTTATAAAGTATTACATAGTCTATGTAATTTTGTAAATACAAGAATATTAAAAGAAGCAAACCACTCACAATCTATAAATTTCCCTTTTTTGTGTGTGTTCTGTATGACATATTTATAATTCCCCCTTACATTACTGAGATTCCCAATGCCTTGTTTTCACTGTAGCTGAGAACCCTGTTTGTAAGAGGGTCTTTGCAGTTTTGCTTTATGTGTATCATCTTGAGGAATACTCAGTGTAGCCAAGAGAGCAAAATTAACAAGATGCCTCCTTTGCAGTAGAAGGAAAGGGACTACAAAGCTTGGGCTTGTGGAGGAAGAACTGAGCAAAAATGCTGTGCTGGTCTGCAGCAACTTTATTCAGTCTGGTCCCCAAAAGAAATCGTGACCTGAGGACAAGTCTGATGAAAGAAGCCATTCCATATTATTCTTCTTTTTTTTTTAATTTAGTCCCTTTTTTAAATTATTATATTAATCGCCATACATTACATCATTAGTTTTTGATGTAGTGTTCCATGATTCATTGTTTGCATATAACACCCAGGTCTCCCCTGAGAGACTATGGGCTCTGAAAAACAAACTGCGGGTCCATATTATTCTTTTATAGCTAATCTCGAGGTCCTCATCTGGTGATAACTAGTCTTGGATTTTACTTTGTTTTGAAAGTTAAGTTCCTGTTTTTAAAACCGTAACTATTTTCTTATTGCATGTGTTTACTTTTAGGAATTTCATGTTTCTGAAGATTTTAATAAAATGAACTTTATCAAGACCTACCCAGGTAATTATAATACACACACGTACTTGCATGTACACATGCATGTAGATAGACACACATAAAATGAGAACACTGTCTCGTGATCAAAATTAGGGCTTCACATTAACTTTGTGGATGTGTTTCCCCCAGTTATATAGGATGCTGCCAACTCTTCAGTTATTTACCATCCTTTTCCTGCTTATCAGTGTTTAAATTTTTGTATACTATTCCATTGGGTGCATCATCAGATGTAATTTAACCATTTTATTTTTGAGCATATGTGCTGCTTCCATTTTTTGGTAACACACACTAACATATGACAATGTATATATATCTGTGAGTGTATATTTCATATATACATACATACGTGTGTCTGTGTCCTTGACTCTGATTCTAATCCTGTAACCCTGGTTGTTTCTGTGTAAGACAAATTCCTAAAAATGGAGTAACTGGGGCAAACATTAAAAAGTTTTTTAATGCTCTAGATTTATTTTACAAACTTCTTCCCAGCATTAGTGTAAATTTTTACAGTCCCATGAGTGGTGGTTGAGAGTATTTGCTCATCCAGTCTGTCCAACATTGCTCTTACAAATGTTTTTTGCCTGTTTGATAGTCAAAATAGTCAATTTATAAATTATTTAAGCTTTATTTAATGTCGATCATTTGTTGTTTGATGAATGTCTGTTCATGATTTTACCCATATACCTACAGAGTTGTAGTATTTTCTAATTAATTTATAAGAAAGAGTCCCTTGATTATTCCAAAGCAACCTATACAGCTGAGAGCAAGGTCAGAAGTTTCTCTGTCTAGCCTCTGACTTCATTCATCAGACTACTGCTTATTAAATGCCTGCTGCATGCCAGGTCCTGTACTAGATGAAGTAGACTAGACAGGTCACTGTCCTAGTGTGGCTTACAGTCAACCTGGAAATGCAGACATTTCAGGAATTAGGTAATAGAATACCTTCCTCATTCTCAGCTATTATTTGGAATACAGAACTCTACAAATACTTTGTCTTTATAAATAATAAAAAGTTACACACAAATTATTCCAGAAACAAAATGCTTCCACTATTTTTTTTAATTTCAGAAAATTGAAGTTCTCTTGTTTACAATGCCAGTGTTTTCTTTTTCTTTTAAGATTTATGTATTTATTTTGGAGAGAGCGATGTGCGAGCAGGGTTGGAGGGGGCAGAGGGAGAGAAGCAGACTTCTCACTTCCCCAACCCGGGCTCCATCTCACGACTTTGAGATCACAGCCTGAGCCAAGACCAAGAGGCAGTCGTTTAACTGACTGAGCCACCCAAGCGCCCTTACAATGCCAGTGTTTTCTAAAAGGTCAAAGTACTAAAGTGACAGACTATAAAAAAACATTACTCCTTTAAGAAGAGACTACTGCTTTCCATATGGAACGTATTGATAATAAGAGCAAAGTAAAAATGTTCTTTCGAGTATAGCAAAAAAAAAAAAAAAGGTCTGGTCTTTTGATCAGTTATTGGAATCCCCCTTGAGCATCAGTCTTTAGTGATCTGCAGCTTCTGATTGTCCACCAGGTAGGGAGACAGGGCAGCTGGGAAGCCTGTGGTAGTGAGGTGGGGTAGGGCAGGTTATCTGAAAGCTGCTCACAGGGCACAGGCGTTTCCGTGGTACGACTGTTCAGACCGTGAGTCTCCAGGCCAAGCAGCTGGAGAAGGTGAGGCTCAGTATTGATTCGGAAGCTCCCATTTCTTCATGAAGGGCACAGACTTCCCTTTCTGTCCTCGCAGCTCATCAGAACCGGGTGTCCGCCATCATCTTCAGCCTGGCTGCCGAGTGGGTGATCAGCACCGGCCACGACAAGTGTGTCAGCTGGATGTGCACCCGCAGTGGGAACATGCTGGGGAGACACTTCTTCACTTCCTGGGCTTCGTGCTTACAGTATCCTTTCAAGGGCTGGACCTTCTTCTGCCTAGCACCTCCTCGGCTCAGTGGTTGGCTTGGCTTTGAGGATGATCATAAACTGTCAGTTGAGATCCAAAGACTGAGGGATGCCTGTGTATTTCACGTGAAATGCAAGACTTCCTGTATCTGCTTTTCTTTGGTATAAAATTGGTGTATTAAAAATAATAATTAGATGAATTACTGTTCTTATTGGGAGGTACTATCTATTTTTAATACAATGTCTTAGAAACCTAAACCTCATTAATACAAACCCCCATCCCCTCGTTCCTTTGCATTTTAAGGTGAAAGAAAAGACTTTTCTGTTGAATAAAGAAAGACCAAAAGGAATCGATCTTTTATTTGGTTATTGGCAGAATGTGTGTGGAGAGGGTTGATAATCCTTTCCATATTCTCAGAGGTGCCTCAGGATCCCCAGAATGTTAATGAATTGCTGCTTTCACAGTTTTTTTTTTTTTTAAGATTTTATTTATTTATTTGAGAGAGAGAGAATGAGAGATAGCACGAGAGGGAAGAGGGTCAGAGGAGAAGCAGACTCCCTGCCGAGCAGGGAGCCCGATGCGGGACTCGATCCCGGGACTCCAGGATCATGACCTGAGCTGAAGGCAGACGCTTAACCAACTGAGCCACCCAGGCGCCCGCTTTCACAGTTTTTTACCAGTGTATGGAATTTGTTTCATGTAGAATTTGCCCTTGCTTAGGGCTCCCCGTGGTAGCTGTGTATCTTAGTGACAGCAAGATCAAGGCTGTCAGCAACAGGCAAATACCCCATAGTAGTTTCTTCTTCAGAGTTGGATGTCTGGGTTAGCAAATTCTTTTTTTTTTTTTTTTTCCCATTGAAAGCCTCTATAAAAAAATGTTTGCTATGAATGAATGCACAGCATGAGATATTTAAAATAAGCATTAAAGCAGTACCATACGCTTCAGAATCAAATAAGGGAAAAATACTCAGATACTTGCTAAATAAGTGTTTCTGTTATGTATTAGGCTTTTCATATGGATTGATAGAAAAGGGCACAGAATCACAGAATCATGGCCCAACCTGTGATGTTTCTTTTGACCTTTGTTTTGGAATTTAAAGCAATGGTTATCCTGATGTGTTTAAACTGCAGATTGGCCACAAATGTTTATGGCCATTAAGTGATTGTGAAAGTAATGAGCTGTTACCAATAGTTAGTTTAAAATTTAAATTTACCACTACCCCAAATAACTGCCTTTTGGATGATTAAACTCTCCATGGCAATTTAAAATAAACCATGCTTTTCATTTAAAGCTGCATCATCCAGGCCAAAGAAAGATAGGTGTTCGTATTTGCTATCAGTTTTACATTATTTCCAGAGATAATTCATAAATAGCCATTTTGTTCCAGTTCTTTCTTGCTGTTTTCACTATTGAGTATTTTACCTTTTTATACTTTGTTATAATTTGATTATTACTACTTTTATGTCTGACTTCTCTGTCAGCTCTTAACCTTTTTTACTGCTAATTCCTAAGGCATTGATTAGAATAGTCCTAGGTACTCCATGAATTCTTGTTGAATGAATGAATGTTAATTTTCCCAAGAAAATTTCCAACTTGAAAGCTTGTTTTCTTAAATATGTACATACTGCCTGAATTTCAGTTGGGTACTTCCTGTCTCATAGTTTTGTGCTTATGTCTTTAAAATGCACATTTTTTTCTGTTTTATAACTTTCAGGTGGATTGTGTTATGTATCCTTGACTGCTTCTCCACAGATATGATTTTGATACTCAGTATGCTTTTGTTGGCGATTATTCTGGACAGATCACCCTGCTGAAGCTGGAACAGAACTCCTGTTCAGTCATTACAACCCTCAAAGGCCATGAAGGTAGGCTGTGTGATCACCCACAGGTTTTTCACCTAATTTGGGCATCCAGATTCAGTTCTCAGCTCTGCGGCTTCATGAATGATCAGCTCCTATGACCTGTCAGTTTCACTTTGATTGGCCAGATGTGGGATTTGGATCTAAAGGACTGAAAGCGAACTGAAGATAGGGTGTTGGGCTGGGTTTCATGTCGTCAAAATCCCTTCCAGATTGCTCGTATGGATAATACTTCCTATTTTGTTTGCCTGTTTAAATTATTTTCAGAGGGTCTTTGAAAATTTCTTGTAAATGGTGAGATCTTTAGAAGAATTTTTTTTTTTTTTTTTAGTTTGTCAGTTTCTAGGATACTGAACAAGACCTGGTGGAGCAATACAATTAGGAGAAATGTCTGGGCTGGTTCTGCCTCTGCTCGGTTAGGGACTGAGGGGGAAGAACGGGTGGAATTTTATGATTTTTACAGTACAGTGAGTTGGCCAGCTTCCATGGAAGGGTTTTAAAATTCAGTTGGCTGTATTAGGTAACAGATTAGAAGTTTTGACACCGTTTGGTTTAGATTGAAGAATTGGGGATTTGTTCAAAGAATTAATGATGAACTTATTTATGAAAACAGTGTTTTAAGTATAATGAGTTAAAGGTATTCTGTGCTTCCTAGCTAATCTATTTGGGTGAAATTGAGTGTGTCAGCTCAGGGACCTTGTAGAGCAAAGGGGAGAGAGGAGAAGAACAGCAAGTTAGAATGTCCTTGGGCAGGAAAGCACAGCCCCTAAGGAAACCACTTGTGTTTATGACTAATGGTCTCATGATTCCCCAGGCTCCCAAGTATTCTCTGCGTTGCTAAGGACAGACTGGGTTCTGGTAACTGCTTAGTAGTGTTTATAGCAAAGGCCCATGTTTATCTGCTGTCAGGCCTCTAGCTGAAGCATATGGGGCACAGGATTAAATTTATGCCTAACTGTTCCCTGAAGCAAGTTTTGCAGAACACTTCTTTTTTCACTTACCTTAAGTTTCTGTGAGAAACTAGTTTCTGTTTGCTTTTGAATATGACTTCATCAGTTTTCTCTGTCGCCACCAAAAATATTATTAACTTGTATGACTGGCTCTGTTTTTAAGTTTGTTAATAATTTCTAGGCAAGCAGTAATTACCAGTAGACTATGAAGAGAGAAATCTGTAGAAAGAAAGATTTCCCAAGGATATTGAATCTGATAAGTTCACCCAATAGAGAATGTGAAATGTGAAGTTTGGATTTTTTTTTTACCTAAATTCTCTGGCATAATTGTGTGGTACACCTACAGAGCATTTTTTTTCTGAGACCCTCAATTTAATTTTCTTAAACATGCATCATGAGGTAAAACACCTGCAAGGTCCCGAAGACCTGGAATAATCTAGATTTTTAGATTACCTAAGTTGACCACAGTAATCTTCACTGTCTTTTCTCATTAAATAGTGTTAGCTTTGTTTTTTTCCTTCAAAAGCTTTTTCTGAGCTAACCCCTCATATATAGCTATCGTGTCATTTTTTTGATACAGAATGAAGACAAATTTCTTTAAACATCTTTGTCTGCAAAGTAGTTTGATGTGCAGTCAGAGATCATTATCTTACAACTCTGGGGGATGGATGTGCTCTGTCTTCTCTGGCCTGTGATAAAGGGGTGAATGACCTCTCGTACAACAAAGATACATTTTTACTTTGGGGCTCAGCTGGTCCTCGTTCAGTCAGTCCCGCTATGCAGGTGTAGGGCTGTACCTAACCCCGCCCTCTCTCTGCCCTGTAGGTAGCATCGCCTGCCTCTGGTGGGACCCTATTCAGCGGTTACTCTTCTCAGGAGCCTCTGACAACAGCATCATCATGTGGGACATCGGCGGACGGAAAGGCCGCACGCTCCTGCTGCAAGGCCATCAGTGCGTGACTGTTTTTGGGGGTGGGGCCGGAATTGGAGTCTGCGGGGTGTGGGAGCAGGGCAGCATTTGTATTCTGCTACTGCTTTCTCAAACCCCATCTGTTAAGACAGCCATTTGCTGGGGCTCACTCAGTCCCATTTAATAGCTCTTCTGTGAGTCCTGAGTGTCTGATGTTGTAGAGCAAAATAGAGCCCAGGGTCTTCTTCCTTCTTAGTCCAAAGAGCACTTGCCTCCTGCCTCTCCCGAGGAGTCACCCTCTTGAAATACCTGCTCAGGGCACAGGGGGTTAAGGAGGGCAGATGAGGACTTTCACTGTGGAAGATCGTGTGGGATGCCATGCTGAGCCTGTCTCGAAGTGGGGGCCTGACTTGTTCTTTTATTCTGACACCTAACGTGTGGGTGTGGTTTGACACAGTTACCTAAGCTAGGGCACTGTAATACCCAGGCTCTTGCCTTCTGGTTTTGAGAGGGAAAGGACATTGGCCTTTCCTTTCCTAGGCTGTTGCTATTTACCATAAGCAGAATCAGGTTGAAAAGTAGCCAAGGAAAGATTTTTTTTTTTAAAGATTTTATTTGTTTGACAGCTCAAGCAGGGGGAGTGGGAGAGGGAGAAGCAGGCCCCCCACTGAGCAGGGAGCCCGATGCTGGACTCAGTCCCAGGACCCTGGGATCATGACCTGAGCCGAAGGCGGGCACTTAACCAACTGAGCCACCCAGGCGCCCAAGGAAAGGTTCTTCATCCAAGTCTGCAGGGCAGGAGATTGTTTCGTAGGGCATCCAGAGGAGGAGTCTGACAGGCACATAGGAAGGGGGCATATTTTGCCCCATCGTTTGTGTGTGTGTGTGTGTGCGCACACGAGTGAGTGCAGGGGCATGTGTGTGTGTATCAGTCTCTGTAGCATCTCATCACCTGTTCTTATGGGTTGTGTTCCAGTAAGGGAGTCACCCCTCCTTTGTTCTTTGTTATGAACAGGTAGGTGAATCTTGCAGGCCTGAAAAGGAGTGGACCACAGCAATTGGTCCTGAAAACGGTAGCCATTGTCTTATCTGTGGCCTGCAATTCTGAGTGACTGACTGGAAAGTAGTGTTTATTTCATAGAAACTATTAAGCTGTATAATGTTACAGAATGCTGATTCAAGTTTAGACTAGAAGCAATAAGACCATTCCAAATTGTTGGTGATAAAATGCCAGTGGCTGGTTCCAGCAAGGCGGGAGGGGGGAGATTGGAGCCTAAGTGAAGACAGGGTCCGTGTTTCTCCACATCGAGACAAGTGACCGATGTGTGTTGTTTGCAGTGACAGAGTGCAGTCCCTGTGTTACCTGCAGCTCACAAGGCAGCTGGTCTCCTGTTCCTCGGATGGGGGGATTGCAGTGTGGAACATGGACGTTAGCAGAGAGGAGGTAAGAGAATGAGCAGGGCAAGGCTGGGAACCTGGCTTCTTGGCTTCCCACCCTGCCGGCTCTCAATGCTGACCAGGTCACAGACAGCCCCAGCCCCTCTCCCTTGTGCTTACCGGTTATCATCTGACAAGGTCCTGTGTGTCACTGCCCCTCGTCCTCTCCCCATGTGAGAGTTTCCACAGTGACAAGCATTGCCCACAGACGGAGCATGTGGGCTGTTTTCAGTCTGGAGATGTGCACCGAGAACCTGCTGGAGCCAGTCCCCCGTGTCGCCGGGGCACGTGCTGTGCACAGCCCCGGCCCGGGAAGCACTGTGGTGGCCCCATGGCATCCCTGCTACCCAAAGCTCTGGGAAGCCTGCTGTGACTAGTGCCAGGGTGCCTCACGTTTTCCTGGGGAAGGGTACCTTTGTCCCCTGCTTTTATTTTCCACTGAGCACATGTCGACATGGTGTTCTTCTCAGGAACCCTGAGTTCTCATTTGTTGGGGCCACCAACTAGTTGTGAGACTTTGTTCAGAGGAGTGTCATTATCTGAGTGTCCGTTCCTCCATCCATAAAGTGGAATCATTCAATGACACAACTTCCAAAGCCTCTTCTAGTTCTTGAGACAGATACGCTGATTGTCTAAACAACCTTGCCATCATCTTTTAAATTGAGAAATTTTTGACATATATCATTATATGAGCTTCAGGTGGAAACAGCAATTTAGCATCCGTATGTATTGGGACGTGATCCCCACAGTGAGCCCAGTTAGCGTCCAGGACCACACATCGTTACAAACCTTCTGTTTCTTGTGATGAGAACTTTTAAGATCTACTCTCTTAGCAGCTTTGAAATACACAGCACAGCTTTACTTAGCATACTGTGCTTCACGTCCCCAGGGCTTATGTATCTTGTAACTGAAGTTTGTACCTTTTGACCCCCTTCACCCATTTCCCCCACCTCCAGCCTTCTCCTCTAGCAACCACCAGTCTGTTCTCTTATCCGTGGGCAACTCGGTCTTTTTTTCTATTTTAAATAATGCTGCAGTGAGCATTCTTGACCTTGTCATTGTGTGATTGTTCAATTATTTATTTCAGACAGATTTCTGAATATAGACCTTCTGGGATAGGGAGATGTACATTCTTAAGGCTTTTTATAGATGTTGTCAGATGACTTCCAGGCAGGATTTCCATTCTCATGTCCACCAGCATGGGTATTATCTGTCTTTTCCAACCTGTGATGTAAATAGCAGAAGAGTTGACTTTTTGTTGATTCAGGAGAGATTTTAGTGTGGGGGACTAAGGACTTACAGTTTAACTTCAGACATTTCCTGAGCTCCTACAGGGTGGCTCACAAGTCCGGAAGCAGGTACTTATGCATCATAAAGGGCTTATGACGCTGCATGGCACTACACACATGCTGTGTGACGTCACAGGAGTGGTGCAGACCAGGTGTGCCTCATCGAAGCAGACACCAGGCGTGGATGTGCCATTCCCACCACACTCCACACACGTCTGTTTTGCCTCACCTCCAATTACTTGGGAGTCTCATTTTCACTGAATAAACCTCCATCTTTAGCATACCACGGAAGACATAATCCAGGCAACATTACTCATTTCTAGGCTTTATGGCTACCATGCTCTATATGCAGATTCTTGCCTGCTTTTTCTAGGCTTGTAATCTCATGAAGGAAATAGACTATCCTATAAATAATAAAATGGAGTCCATATGTGGAGAAGTAGTAACTGTTAGCTTTTCTAGTAACCTTGTGAGACGAGTTAAGTAGAGGAAATCTTGATTACCTGTGTGCTGGCAAAATATTTTGGTAAGACTTAAGGTAACTCATTATTAAATACATATAACATTGGCTTAATATTACTTATGGACACTTTCCTTACAAAGCTTTATTTTAACTGTGTTTTACAATAGCTGCTAGTTACAGGCATGGAGAACAGCCAGTATACTGTTTGGTTTCCTGGACCCTTGGCCTGTTTGTTTTGTTGTTGTTGAGAACACAGAAAACTCAGAGGCTGTGTTCCCTGGCTCACATGGGAAGGCGACCCTTGGGGCCAGTGCTGCTGGTGGTTCTCTTAAGGGCTTACCCACTTGGATTTCAATCCACTATTCTTATCCTTGGTAAATTCTTTTAGGAAAAAAAAGTGACAAAATAAAAGCAAGATTCCCACCTTCAGGGTTACACAATTGTGGAGTTTATCTGTATGTCTAGGGAAAGAAAAGACAGCCCCATCACTCAGGCTGCTTCCTGTGTAGGCGATTCTCTTTTTAATTGTTTGTGCAAGATTACCCCTTGCATGCTGGCTGGTAACACATCACGCTCTACTAGCTTTTCTGTCTCAGTAGTTGACAGTTTTGGTGGGGAAGCAGATTATGTCAGAAAGATGCATTATTGGGGTACCTGGGTTTCAGCTCAGGTTGTGATCTCAGGGTCCTGAGATGGAGCCCCACATCGAGCTCCGTGCTCAGTACGAAGTCCACTTGCGATTTTCTCTCCCTCTCCATCTGCCCCTCCCCCTCCACACGCACACTCTCTCTCTAAAATAAATAAATCTTTTTAAAAAATGCATTATTTTTAGTAGTCTTATTATGTTTTTTAACTAGCTGAGTATAGTGCAAAGGGAAACAGCCTATGATCTATAAGGTTTTGGCCCTGGCTTAGGGTTTGTACAATTTGTAGGACTTCCTTAGGCAAAGGCATACAGAATTAGTCCCAAATTCTCTAGCCCCACAGTGCTTGCTTGGAATTTCTTTCTGAGTCACCTGGAAATACTGATTGAGGCAGTTGCCTCCCTGCCAGATCATAATCAGAGGGGCTCCTTTTTGGAAGTAGTCATGAAATGTAAATGAGCAAGTAATAATTAGAATGAATCCTCTTTATTTTTTTTTTTTTCATTTGAGAGAAATAGTGAGTGAGAGAGCACAAGCCAGGAGGAGAGGCAGAGGGAGAAGCAGGCTCCCCCGCTGAGCAGGGAGCCCAATGTGAAATTCGATCCCAGTACCCTGGGATCATGCCCTGAGCCAAAGGCAGATGCTTAACCGACGGAGGCACCCAGGCGCCCCTAGAATGAATCCTCTTTAAAAGAGAACTTTTAAACTAGTAGATCACAGGATGTATAATGGCATACATTAGTGTATATGGTATACATTAGTACAGTGTAGATTATTGCAGCAATTGGTAATAGCGGGGCAGGGGAATTATTCTTGCTACATCATCTTTGATCAGATGAGGCAGATGGAACAGGATGTAGAAAAGAGTGAAACAGAATACTTGATTAATGTTCTCCTTTGCTCTTCTTAGGAAAGAAAATTTTTTTCTCTGTAGGGAATAAGCATATAACAGGATGGTTCCTGACAGTGTAGAGCATAGGACTTCATCCTGTTAAAAGCAACAAAGTGATGGGTATTTCTTGGAATAAACTGTTCCGGAAAGCCTGTTTATTTCTGATGTTTTTTGTTTGTTATCTCAAATTACTTCAAGCATACCTTTCTTCCTTTGAGTCCCTCTCCCCTGCAGCTCAGCAAAGTAATATTCTTGCCGAAACCCCTAGACAGAATGATGCTCCTGAGGCTAAGGACCTGGTTCTGTTGGTGGCCACGCCCCAGAACCACATGTGGAGACCTCACGTGTTCAAACCCAGAAGCCCCACATGCAGCTGCTGTGTGGAGTGTGGCGGGCAGGCCGAGGGGCTCAGGCGGCGCTGCTGTGTGTCCTGGGGTCGCCACCCACGCTCTCAGCATGCACAGGTGCTCCAGGATCAGAGCCATGGTTTCTCTGCCTGCAAAATGAGGCTAATGTTGCTCTATATCTCCTGGGGGTGTGTGGAAGATCACGTGAAATAAGGCATAGCAGATCCTCGGTACATGGCCTGACTTACATGATACTTTGCATACCAGGCACCGTGCAGAGCACTTTGCCCATATTTACTCCTTCCCTCCTCACACCCTTACAAGGGGAATACTACTGCTTGAATCTTGCTGCCCTGAACACGTCCTGCGCTTTGTCCCGCATGCGTGCGGTACTGTGGGAGTCCCTCCGGCGTGGGTCCCAGACATGAGACCATGCCGTGGGACCTGCATCTCCTACCCTGTGCTGTTGGCCGCAGGACCCACCACGGGGGCCGTTGCGCATAAGCACTGTTCCCAAACCACCTTCCCTGTCCTGTGGACCACAGAGACACAGCGGTGATTCTGCATCCAGACGGTACTCTTTCTCGTGGAGGTGCGCATCTCTGTTGCTCTTTCCATCCTCCCTTCCTTCCAGTATGTCTCTGATCATTTAAAGGGACATCTCTTCTGTCTCAGCCCACTTCATGTGATTTGTGGGTGCTCCCCCTGCCCCCACCAAGAAACACCTTTGTCAAGGCTGTCGTGTGTAGAAATATTTCTAGTGACATCGCTAAAATAAGAAATAGGAAAGCCAAAAGTTCTGATGCAATAGGAAGCAAAATAAGGAAGTAGGGGCACCCGTCCTTGAAGCCCCCAGACATCCCGTTTTGAGTGTTGAAAGCCCTCTGTCTTTACTGCCTGTGTTAGAAGGGTTGCTGTGATGCAGGGTCTCTGCTCTCCCAGCATTGTCTCCTCTTACCACAGATACTTTTCTTGACATCCCAATTTCAAGATCAAAAAAGGATTATTTCGTCATAGTCTTTGGTTTAATTGATAGAAATGCATGTTTTCTATTGTTACTGCACATATGTAATGATAAGTGATTGAGGTTAAATATTAGCTTTGAACAATTTCATCTTGTAATAGGGAATCATTTGTTCTTTTATTTTTTTAAATTTTTTTATTTTTATTTTTTAAGATTTTATTTATTTATTTGACAGAGAGAGACAAAGTGAGGGGGGAACACAAGCAGGGGGAATGGGAGAGGGAGAAGCAGGCTTCTTCCCATGGAGTAGGGAGCCCGATGTGAGGCTCGATCCCAGGACCCTGGGATCATGACCTGAGCCGAAGGCAGACGCTTAATGACTGAGCCACCCAGGTGCCCCTATTTTTTTTTTTAAAGATTTTATTTGTTTGAGGGAGAGAGAGAGCAGGAGTGGGGAAGGGCAGAGGGAGAAGCAGGCTCCCCAATGAACAAGGAGCCCAACAGTGACATGGGGCTCCATCCCAGGACCCTGGGATCATGACCTGAGCCAAAGGCAGATGCTTAACCAGCTGAGCCACCCAAGTGCCCCTAATCGGGTACAATTTGTAATGGTTTGTTTAGAAAAATATTTTCTAAGTTCTTGTTAAAGTAATGCCGAGACTTTAATCATCCTGTTTCAATAAAAATTCATTGAGAACCTAGTCTGTGACAGGCAATCCGTACACAAAGATGAGCGAGCGTGGTGACAGGTTAGTGGTAGACTGGAAGTGTGTGTAAAGGACGACAGCACAGAGGCCAGTGCTGGGGCGGAGGTCTGGGGGTGGTGTGTGCGCACGGGAGACCGTGCCATTCCTGGGAGCTGGGGCGGGGGGGGCGCAAATCTGTCGGACGTGAGACACACCTGGAAGAACTCTCCTGTTGGTCACCCTGTGACCTCACAAGACTTCCCAAGTGGTAGTTCACCAGATTCTGTAAGAAATGGATTTTCACTCAACTGGATATAGATACTAAACAACTCTGGCACAGAAAAAAAATACATGAAGACACCCTGAGGAGTTCACAGTGGAAACTGAATTCCTCCTTCCTGTCTATACATTAAAAATCGAACAGTCCTGTAACATTGCTAAAATGATAGACATTACTGAAAACACATACGATTGAATATGGCAACAGCTATAACATATTGAGGAGTTTTTTTAAAATGCTAACAACCAACAAGGTCTGAAATTGTTGTATTAACCCTGAGAAATCCTAGTAAACAAGCAGGTGCTCCAGTGGTGGCCTTGACTTTGTCCTCCCCCAGGCTCCTCAGTGGTTAGAGAGTGATTCTTGCCAGAAGTGCGAGCAGCCCTTTTTCTGGAATATAAAGCAGATGTGGGACACAAAGACACTGGGGTTGAGACAGGTGAGTAGCCAACATTGAACTGTCCCTGGCCTAATCACGTATCTTGTTCTTTGTGGTATTAATCTGTCATTTTGTTTGGAATCGTACTTTTTCCTATAAGTGCTATGAACTGCATTTTTGAGGTCACTGTCTCTGTGTAACAAACCATGAGTGGGACCTTTCCTGGGCCCAACGAGATTATCACCTAAGTGTTCCATCGCTTGTCCAGCGTTGGAAGAGCAGGGATGCACGGAAAACACTGAGAGCCTATTTGTAAATACATGAAAGATTCTTCAGTTAGGAGTATTACTTGTTCAAGTCAGTGTTCTGTGCTAAGAATGAAGCCAGTCATATGATTGTAAACCTTATGCTTTCACTGTTTGTTAAAAATGTAACAATTTGGCCCTCACTGGAATACTGTGACACTAAGAATTTTAACTTATTCACAGATTGTTCCATATAAGTGTACCTGGAACATTTTTATTAAGCATGTTTCTGGTACTCTTTTTCTTTCTTTTGATTAAAGAAACATGTCCCAAATAGCCTATAGATTTCAGAGACGCCCTTATCACTAGGTATTCATGTAATTCTAAAGTTCTACAAAAAACATATTTCTACAGCAACCTTGAAGGTAGCCTACTCCAATTGAATATGAATTGGTGCAGGTAAGTAATAAAGAATGCTAATTTTATTTCTTTGCACCTCTATGAGGGATTGGCTTAAAGTCTGTGTGTGTTAATAAACTTTCTTTAATGTTACTACGAAGCTACTCTCCCACAAGGTCTGGTAGGAGACTGGCAGGAAGTACAGGGGAGATCGTAGCATTCCTATAACATTCTGATGCTCAGAAATGGAACCCGAATTCCATGGTTAGCCTGCTTCCTGCAACGCATGTCTGCTGGTAACTAGTGTATTGTAATTGGTGGGCCAGATAATCCCTGCGTGTATGGGAAATGTGAAGAAGTTAATTTCCATTTTATGAATTAACTACTAGAAGAGAGAGGTAAGGTAGGGGTCACTAAACTGTGTGTTGAAAGAATATGACAAAATTAATAACTGGACTGTTTTGAATGTTCTTGACGCTTATGTCCAGAGTGATTGAAAGATTAAAAGAAATAGTAAAACATATGATTATGGATATTTATTTCTTAAGGAGGGCATATTACATTATTTCAAAACTTTTCTCTGACAGGAATAGATTTTTTTCCTGCAACCTCTAGTCATTTGAGCTCCTAAATGAACTTGAAGTTGGTTTTAATAATGCTGTTTGTAGACATCTAGACAGATAATATGAATGAATAAAAAGCGGTATTTGATCAATAAAACAAGGATCTTTGGAAATCCTTGACAAGTGTGGACACTGTCTGCCTTTTGTGTTAACGGGTACATTGAATGGGGTAATTATAATTCAAGGCGACTCTTCCCCACTCCCACTCCCTGCCCTGAAGGGAAGCCAGGAGCACCACAGCAAAAGCTAAACTCTCCCCTTTTCTTCCTTCCGGTGGTCCCTGAAGCATCACTGCCGGAAATGTGGGCAGGCTGTGTGTGGGAAGTGCAGCAGCAAGCGCTCCAGCTACCCTGTCATGGGCTTCGAGTTCCAGGTCCGCGTGTGCGATTCCTGCTACGACTCCATCAAAGACGAGGAGTGAGTGTTTGTGGGTCTTTGTCTTACTGGGCGCCTGTAGGGAGGAGAGCCTGAGAAATGATAGGGTGTATTTCTACCCACCTGTCCGTCTCTTCCCAGCTTCATAAACCGTTCCTGGGGAAGGAATTCTGTCCTCGCTGTATGGCCTCAGCGAGTTTCTCCCAAACAGTGTGAGGAACGATGTTGCTAAGACCAGTGCGGCAGTTGAGCAGTGGGCATCCCTGAGCCCCTGCAGGGTCAGGGCCAGTGCGCACTGATGCAGTGGCAAGCTGGTCCATCCAGTGCTCCAACCTTGGCTCACACGTGCCTGGGAATTTCATTTTCTTTGCCTTCCCTTTGAATCATCTTAGAAAGTGCTAGCCTGGCAAACCTTGGCCGAGGCCCACGTTGAAAGGCTAGTCAGCATCACTGGTGTCAGTCCATGTGCGCTCGTGAGGAGGCTGGGGTTGCGGGCGGGGGAGCAGAGCGAGAGCCGGTGCCGGGAGCTGCGGAGGGCAGAGAGCCTTCGGGGAGCCTGCAGCCTCCCCATGAGGGTCTTGCCCACGGAGTAGGAGCTCCTGCAGTGCAGTTCCTCTGCACAATTAAAGGCCCTTGTTTTTTTGTGCAACATAAGGAATAGCGTGGAGGACATTAGGAGAAGGAAGGGAAAAATAAAGGGGGTAAATTGGAGGGGGAGACACGAACCATGGGAGACTATGGACTCTGAGAAACAAACTGAGGGTTCTAGAGGGGAGGGGGTGGGGGGATGGGTTGGCCTGGTGATGGGTGTTAAAGAGGGCACGTTCTGCGTGGAGCACTGGGTGTTACATGCAAACAATGAATCATGGAACACTGCATCAAAAACTAATGATGTAATGTATGGCGACTAACATAATAAAATTAAATTTTAAAAAAAAAGGCCCTTGTCTTATGTCTAGGAATATACCAGCCTTTCCACTGAAAAAATAAAAATCCGTTATTTGGAGAGTTTTGTTAAACCTTATATAAAACAATCTTGCAGCTTATCCTGACGGTTTTCTAAACTGTAGCCACATTTTTAGGAGTAAATTTTAACACTGTCATTGTGTTTCCTTTATGTTGCAAGTCAGCTCTCAGCGGTGTCTCTTTTCTCTTTGTCAGTCGGACTTCTCTAGCAACCTTTCATGAAGGAAAACATAACATTTCCCACATGTCCATGGACGTTGCTCGGGGACTGATGGTGACCTGTGGGACCGACCGCATCGTGAAGGTAACCTGCTTCTGAGTCCCGACAAGCGTCCGTGTGTAGAGGGCTCCGTGATTGTGCTGCCAGCAGACGGCCGCTCGTCCAGCCTCACTTTCTTATCAGCAGGCTTGCCTTCCCTTTTTATAAGCAGCCATGCAGCCTGAAGCAGGATGAAGACCCCGAGGAACACACTGCATGCTTGCGGGTGCCCCGCGCGCGGTGGCCTCTCCTTCCGGGGGGTTTCCTGCGCCATCTCCATCTCTCAGAGTCGCTGCTGGGGCCTGGCACCTGGGGGTCGCCATCTGCCTGGCAGTCCTGCCTCCCCAGCAGGTCAGGGCTTAGCCGGCCCCTGTCCCTGGTCATCCTTCCCCAGCTGGTGTTCCTCTCAGCCTGGACAGGTTTCCTAGTTGTAGGAAATAACCACACATTTTTTCATTAAATCCCTCAGGTCACTCATACAGAAATGAAAAGCAAGTGTTTTATACTGAGTACCACTCCAGAGTTGTGAGACCATGACACACTTTGTTTCATAGTTTTTTTTTTTTAAATAGGGGCTTTTCCCAGTAGGTTTCTTATTAAAAATGAAATTAAATTTATAGTAAAGCATCATTATTATAGCATTTTCAGGTGTCAAGATACCACTCACAAGCTTTTTTCACATTTTAGTGCACTAAGGGGTTCGTCTATAGATCTTGAGAAGGTTTTGTAGTGAAAGAATGAGAGAATGAGTTCTTTTGTCCCCTTTTCAAGTTTAACAGCGGTTTGGTGTAAACTGTGCTTCTGGACCCTGTGATGAGCGCCGCCTTCTCTGGCATGTTCTTTCTCTTGCAGATCTGGGACATGACACCTGTGGTGGGCTGCAGTCTGGCAACTGGGTTTGCTCCACGTTGATCCGGGAGCTGGGTGAGGTCTGCACCTTCCCTGTGGCACCCTTCACCAACGCAGCCCTTCCCCGTGGCTCCACGGTCGCAGTCACGGGAATGGACAGTAGCCACTAAAAAAAAGCAACATTTTTAAAGAGAGAAAAATGTAAGGTGTGTTTGGGGCATTTGTGGAACTACCTGTGGGGACGAATATGAAAAAAAAGTTCATCTGTAGTGGTTCCCTGAGGAAAGGAATGACTTCAGTGAGACTTCCTCATGAACAGTGAGCTCACGTGTGCTGAAGGAGTCATTTGGCAAATGAGAGTTTTAGAGGAAAAACGGTTGAACAAAAGTGTTAAAGCAGTTCCCAGTGCAAACACTCTTCCCCTCAGACTTGCCAGCCCTCCCCGGGCGCCTGTGGCTCTGTGGTTAGAGCAGGGATTAAGGGGAGGAGGACTTGCTGTCTCTTTCTTGAGGGGTGCAGGAGGACCCCAAGAACCCAGAGATCTCTCCTTCCTCACTGGCAGTATGAGAATCTCTCTCCACATAGTGATTCTTCTTAAAGATCTCTGTTCTCGGCAGGTAGCGCCATTACCTGCACTTGGTATTTGGAGCACTCAGTTTCCTCTTCCCGGCCAGCCAGTAAGCCAGGGGCCAACCTTCACAGTTGTTACTAAGTGAGCTGTAAAATTGCTGTATTAACCTAGGCAGCGCACATCCTTCCCTTTCCCCCAAATGTGCTGTGAGGACAAAACGTTTTTATGGTGCTGTTAACGTGGGAGTCACACAAGCCACCTGACTGTCTCACTGCTGTCAGGAACGACTCGCGGAAAAGGGAAAACCAGCCCAGCCCACAGCACGGTGGTGAGGGGAGATGATCAGGCTGCTCCATGGGACAGCCTAGTCCCAAAAGGATGCATTCTGTTTGTAGTTCCAAGATGGGCCCCTGCGATATTGTGGCAGTTTAATAATAATACACCTCAGAAAAGAACTCCAAAGCTTTCTAAACTATGTTGACTTTTCGTTGTAAGGAATATTATTACCATCTCATAGAAGGGAATTAGTAACCCAGAGCAGTAACCGTTAAGCAGGTCCTGCGCAATCATTCCTAACTTGTAAATTGCTTTCATAGCCACTAGCGAATTCTCTTGTAGCAAATGGCATTTTAAAAGTTTTTGGCCACTTAGTACCAGGATGGGGAAGAGGTGGGGAATGGGAGAGACTGTCTTTTAATATTCCAATATTTATTTCTTTGTTTTTAACAATAGTACACATACCTATTACTTTAGGGCTATGCAAGTGAGTGGAGAGAGGCCTACTTTTCTTAAAGACAGATTTTAAAAGAGATAGCAACAGTATTTTTGTTAGTCTTACTAGTGGATATTGATTAAAACTCACTACTGCGTCACTGTGTTGGGATCATATCAAGACAGCATGGTTGTTATGTGTGATACCATGAAGGGATTAAATCTGTTTTTTAACAACAGAGAAGGACTGTAATGTTTAAGACAGGTAATTAAACTAAGATGTCTTACTCGCCAAGTGACACAAATAATAAGGAAAGGAGGTCAAGCACCTCATATTCTAGAATGATCTGCATTAAAAATTGACTTGCTTTCAGGAATAAGACTGAAGGGTTTTGTTGCTCTGTGTAATTTTTGTTTTCTGTCACCTGAAAGAGGTGTTTCCTTTAAAAACTTCCTGTCAGCTCTTTGCAAAACGTAGGATACTAATACAGGCTGGAAGGACACTGGGCGGATGGGACCGTACAGGGCAGTGTTGAGTGTTAGCTCTTGTTCAGTTAATGGTCCAGCTCACACAAAGGTGCTATCCTGGGGATTTCATGACGTCCTGAAGGAAAATAGGATATGATCTGTTTCTTACCATGTTGATGAGTACTGAACTGTGGTTTTTGTTTGCCTTTAACTTCTGTAAAATGTGATTTTATAATGTCTGTGGTAGACTGAGCACAATATCACACTGTAGCTTCCAGCCTTCTTTTATTCTCAAATTCTGAATGAAAAACCCAGTGTTCTAGAGAGAATATAAGGTTGTGAGAGCACCTCTTAAGGGGTTAAGCTAATATAAATCAAAGAGGGGAGGCATTATATAAGGAAGAATTGGAGAGGGGCATCCGGAAAAGGAAAGAGTGTTTCAGTTAACTTTTCTCTCCACCAGAGCCTCTTAGCACTTTTCATTTTAAGAACTCATGTAGCAGGTTTGTCTTGTCTCTACTACACACAAGGGAGCAAATGGGGTAATATTTTTTATAGAGGTGGGCAAAAATTATTTTCTCAATTCTGCTGACTGGACACATAAGGACGATCCAGTGAGGCTTCTAGTTATTGCCTTATTTTGTGTTAAGACTGTGTTAATCTTAAACCGGTCATTTAAAATAGCTCTTCAAGTAACAGTTCATGGTTTTTCCATTCCTGAATACTCACGCTAATTTCTACAACTAGGGATTAAGAAGTGCAGAATGTTAGAGAAGATTCTTATGTTTTAGATCTAGTATGTCTGCAATAAGGAGATGTCAATTCTTCATTCAAGATGTGTTCTCAGATTGCCCCTTTTTTTTTTAGTGCAAATGATAGAAACACCCCCATGGCATTAGCTGGAAACAGGTTATTCAGTATACTGTAAATCTCTGTTTACGATGTCCTACTTCTGTCCTGCTGCCTGGAGGATATGAATAAAAATAGTGCTCTAGAACGCCTCACTTGGTTCTCCCCTAAAGAATTCAATTTGCTTGTACCTACATTTTTAAACTGTTGAAACTGGCCTAAATATGTAATAAATTCCATAGTGACTCAGACCCGAGGAAATATTTTCTAAAATGAGGTTTCATTCAGTTACTTCCTACTTCCGTTACTGGATCTGGTGTCTTCTAAAATGTAAGGAACCAGTTACTATTAATGATAAACCATCTGCTCATTAGAAATGTGAGGTTTAACAAATAAGTAATACATGCTCTATTTATTCAAGTGTCTATTGCTTAATTGTTAATTGTGAGCAGATTATTGAATGCCTACTCTATTTTCTGCAGTTTACTATACAGTAACTCTTTGAGTAAATCGTTTCATTGTGCAACAAATTTATATTAGAATACAATTTAAAGTGTTTTACTCTATAGCCTTTTTGACTGGGGAAGAAAAGGGCAATGTTGATTAGTACATTTTGTCTTGTACTAGTTATGTTCCTATAAGATATGGTGCCCCGTGTATCCCAGAGAGTTAGAAAACTTTGTTCTTTTTCTCCTGTTTGTGGGTTCTGTTTTTGTGTTGTGGTTTTTGTTTGTTTGTTTGTTTGTTTTTGCGAATATACATATACAATAAACTGTTCCTTGCTTGTTACTCTGTTGCTTAATTTAGCTTTTGTTGTGTTTGGGCCGGACATAGGGCAATAATAGTAACCACCATGTATTTAGCACACTCTGTGCTGGGTGCTCTACCTGCATTCTGCTGTTCAATCCTGGCAACACTTCTGCAGGGCATTACTGTCCCTGTTTTACAGGTGAGAAAACTAAGAAGATCCTGTCTGTCTGTCCATTTATCTGTCTGACTTGAAAGCACTTGCCTTCTCCATACACCTGCTTTCACGTGCTAGAGTGTAGTGTTTCCTGTAAGGGTTAGGGGTCAGGTATTACTATCTTTTGAAGTTTGTGAAGCCCCGAAGTCCAATTGCTCTGGATGTCTAGGTTCCCCAAGTCACATGGGGAGACCGGCATCTGTGCCCCAGTTCTCCACATCAGCAGCTCAGTTTTGTGAATAAACACAGGGTGGTTCAGACCCAGGATAACTTATTCCTCTGCTTAGCTGATAGGAAGTTGATTTCTTAGAAACCAGCATGGCAGTTTACTGTGTTTCTTCAAAGTAATATAGCTTTATTTAATAAACAATATGTAATAAAATAATATATAATTAAAAAAGAATAAAAAGAAAACAAAAATTAAAAGATAATACCAAAAAGTAGTAAAAAGATTTGTTTTAAGCCCTCTGTCCCACCACCCAGAGAAAACACTGTTAAACCTGGGCTGTATGTCTTTCCAGTGTTTTTCTTAAATGCATGCATGCATCTGTAAAAGACACCAGTGGATACAGTTTTAAGGGGCTGTACTTCTCCCCCCACCTGATGTATTATGGATCATTTGCCCACATCAAAAAATAGAGCTCCACGGGAGCATCTTCAGTTGTGGTGGATGCGAGGTTGGACCTGCGCTCCTGCCGCGGGTCTCCAGCGCCTTGAGGGTCGGTGAGGGCACGTGACTTGCTTTAGCCAATGAAGTGCCAGCAGAAGGATTTAATAGCAGGTGAGAGGCTTAATTAACCTCCATGGGTTTCCCACCGGGGTCACAGAAGTGCGTTGATAGAGAAGATCCCGGGGAGCCCGACTGCCCTGGACCTGCAGTGGACTTTGCATGGGAGATCAATAAACCATTGTTGTTTCAATCCACTGGGGTTGTGTGAGTTTGTGTGTGTGCACTGCAGCATCACCTAGCTTGGACAGCAGTATCCCATTGTTCCGTTATGTGGCTAAACTGTCGAGTATTTTACCAATTCCATGTCGAAACTAGACCATGTATTTTTAGGATATTTATAATTTTAATCAAAACACTGTTTAGAAATACTAAATTCAGCATGCTTGTATGTTCATCTTTGCCCACTTTTCCAATTATTTTCATAGGATAAATACTTCAACATGGGAATTACTAGGTCAAAGAATATGCATATTTTAAGTTTTTTATTCTTACTGCTAATATCCTCACACCATTGCCAGCACTTGAATTTTCTTCCTTTGACTAGGGAATAAAAAGGCACATCTCAATGTCTTAATATATGGAATTCCAGTTTATTAATTCACAATAAGAATTCTATCTACCAAACAGACCACATTTTTTTTTTTTAAGATTTGTTTATTTATTAGAGGGCACGAGCAGAAGAGGCAGAGGGAGAGGGAGAGAGACTCTAAAGCAGACTGCACTGAGTGTAGAGCCTGATGTCGGGCTCGATCTCATGACCCAGAGATCACGACCTGAGCTGAAACCAAGAGTTGGACGCTTAACCGACTGCGCCACCCAGGTGCCCCCAGACCACGTAACTTTAGGACGGTCTAGATAGAACCCAAGTCATCACTGGAAGGCTGCTTAGCAGCCAAGGACA